CATCAGGGAACATTTTCGTCTGGACTGTGCCTTTTTCTCCGTCTCGTGTCAAAGCAGGTGATAGGCCCGCCAAGGAGAGCGTCCGGTCCAGTCTAAGCGAACGCCAGGCAACTCAACACCTGGTAGTGACAGCCGCACAGCGGGGAATGGCCCACTACCCACTGGATTCTGCGTGTCTGAGAGGTGGGTGGCAGAGAGGCTGCTGGACAGCCCAGCCTCCAGGTCCCCACAGCTCGCTCTTGCCCGCAAACCCAGACTCGCTGGAGAGGTTCCTTGGTCTTGGAATTCACACCTCTTGTTGTCCTTCAAAGGTGTACGCTGGAGTGGTGCCTCCCATATGTGTGTTGGTAGACAGGCTCCTAAGGAGTGTAGCATCCATCTCAGGTGAGGCTGATAGAGCACTGGAACGAAGGGGGGCTGGCCCTGTAGACACTAGCTCTGCTCCTTGTCTCAACGGCACGGTGCTTCAGCCCCTCCCCCCAGATACCAAGGCTGCCGATGCGCGCCGGGCCGGCAGAGATGACGACTTGCTAACTCGCTAACTTGGGATGGCCGTTGATCGAGGTGGATTTCCTGGGTCCTGGGACTTGTTAGGCGCTGGCGCAGTGTCAGCCAAGCACCTCCGGGGTTGGTTAGGCTGTGCTCCTGAAGCAGCCTCCCAGTCTGCAAGGGAAAGGAGATCCCCCAAGGCGGGAGCTGATGCGGTGCCTTGTGTTGCTCAACATGCCGTGGCCGTGTCGTCGTTGTGACTCAAGAGCAGGACGGGAGGGAGCCATCTGATCGAGGACCGAGTATCATTAATGGACGAGGGGGATGAGAGCAGCATGTGGTGCAACCGAGGACTGACTGGTGCTGGTGCTGGGGCTGAACCTTGCACCCTGGCACCAGATCTTGCGGCATCGTACATTTAGCTTCCTGAGCGTGCTACCACCTCTGCATCGAGGTTGGTTCCCAGCGATTGAGGTTGGAGAGTGGAAGAGAGAAAGTAAAAGAGTGAGCTTCCGCTTGTGAGTGAATGGATGGACGCGGAACCGTGCACTGAACAAAGAGCGGCTATTGGCAGGTGACTAATAACCCCAACCTCTGCTCTCGTTAGAGGAACCTTCCCGGACCTTGCCATGGCAGCTGGCAGTGGGATTGGAAGTGGAGGCATGTGCTATGGACAACTACTTCCCTGCTACCTTCTATCTAAATATGGAACTGCGGACGGGAAGCAGCTACCTATCGATGGAGATGAAGAGGCCGCCCCTCGAGCCTATCTGCGTACCGACCTGGCCTGGAGCAACATCCATGGATTTAATCAAATGTCATCGCAACAACCTACACGACACAACACAACACGACACGACCTCAACCTCGACCAGGCGTCCGTTTAACTCAGGCAGAGGCATGCGCCAGCATCCCTCATCCCCACCAACACCACCACCCAAGACAACCATGAATCCAAGCTACTATTCGCACTTTCCCATCTCCTCAAGTCCCAATCCCATGCTGAGGGCTACCTTCAACCCTGTTGTGCTTCGCCGCCACTGGTAACCTCTGGCTAAATTTACCACACCCAACCAAGGCTGGCCGTCCATGTCATCCCAGGCTCCCGGGGCTTAAAGCAGGAAGCGCGTGCTGTAGTTGAGAAGCGCGGGCGACGTTGGATGTTGCCGGCCGGAGCAGCAGACCACCACTAGGATCATCAACCATCCCAACCCGCAACGAGCACAAGAGCCCTCCAATTGCGGCGCAACCGCCTGCACTAAAGCATCTACACATGCCCACAACGAGCCTAACCAGACCTTGGGTTACCGGCTATTGGCTGTGGGTGCCAGACAAGGGCAGGGTGAGGGAGAGCAAGGCAAGAGAGAGCCCAGGGAAAGGTGACCCCCGGCTTTTTTCTTCTTTTCATCCCATCATTCTCCAACATCATCATCTCTTGCATCATCCGCCCCCCCATTTCCAAAACAATCCCAGTTCCAGTCCCATTCCCAGGTCTTAGCCCCGGCCCCTGTCTTTCATACCCCGGGCTTCCGGCCATCAGGGCATCCTTCCTGGCCCCCTTCGTAACGACAGGTTCACGGCGTACGCAGCATTGCGGTCTCATATGGTGGTGACTGGACCCCTTCCTGCCAAGGCATCAAGAGGGACTTGGTCGAGTCGGAGCAGTGGCCGAACGATGAATATCCTCTACTCATACCCATTGGCTTTTCTCAGCTCAGGCAGGTAGCTTAGCTGGGGACCCAGGCCCCACCCTGACCCCGAGAGCCCGCTCACTGACGCCAACGCCAGCCAAGGACCAACACCAGCACCAACGCTGTGGCCAACGCCAACCTCAACACCCACGCCCAAAGGAGACGCAGCCCGCACACCCTTCCTGCCAACTTGCGAAGCTCAAGCTTTACAGGCCTTTGGTACCTGGTTCCGCAATTAGCCATGAAGCTCTGGACGGACTGGACTAGAATGGCAAGGAAGACAAGAGCGTCATGTCCAACCTTGATTTCGTGGTCCTTGTTCGCATGCCATTGAAGCGACAGACGAGACGGCTCCCCAGTGGTGCTGTTACTCGACAACTAACACTGTATCTGCGCCGCTAGATACATGATGTGCAGCATCAGCTTCGCATTGGCAATCACAGGCTCCTCAGATCTGGAACAGAGAAGCACTAACGTTCCGCTGACGCTTTGATTCTCCTGGGGCCCAAAGCTCCATACCACCACGCGCCGCGCTGGTCTTGATGAATTGCAACTGCAACTCAGCCCACTTTCGCTTCACCTAGGCTCAGCAATTGGCCAATGCTTCTTCCTGCTCGACTTCATCTGGGTTCTCACCCTCTTATTTATCCTGTTGTCTCTGCCGCATCCACATGTGGCCTCATAGAGCTGTGCCATGGCTTTTGGCTAGCTGTTGTTGCTTCTGTCTTGATATGAGGCTCCAGTCTTGCCCTCGCTTCTTGGAACTTGGCCGAGCTTGATGAATTCTGACTGATACTGATGACTTCTTCTCTGCCAATGCCGTCGTCGTCCCGTCTTGCTGTTGACCCCCGCCGCGCCTCTGATAACCAACATTGATCCCCCGCTTCATGCCTCTCGGCTCCTCCTTCACTGCTCTAATCCCTACCCATGAACATACATCATGTGCCCTTCATCATCGGCCTGCTATTCTGCGATTCTGCAGGGTTACCGAGCAATTTGACACTAGCTGCGTTCTTGGGTTTGCTGGGCCCCTCGCCCATTTCTGGCTTCACCCCTCCACCCCCCTTCTTCCCTCGGCCGGGCAGAGAGACCGCGGACAACCTCCACATCCTCCTCCACCTCAACCATCTCCACAGGCACCGCCATACCGCTGCTGCTGGTCTTAGTGCCCTGGTACCTAGGCTTAGCTCACCTTGGTCCGTCAAGTTAGTTGATACTTACAAGACGATACCTTGGCTACCTTACCTACCGGTCGGACTCGAGCTGCGTCTTGCTGTGCTGCATCTGGCTGCATCTGCGTCCGCGCTTGCATCTGCATCCTCGTCCACATCTTTTCCCTTGACTCTTTCTCGCCTTGGTCTAGTTAAAACCGCTGGTTGGCGGCTTCTCCATTTTGCTGCTCGAATTCCCAGCCGTTGGGTTGTCCTTCTCCTCATCGTTTTCTGTCAATCCCATCCATTCGGGCCAGCCGATTTCTACCCAGCCAGTCGGCGCTCGCCCGTCTCTGTCGACGGCTCCCATCACTCCATACAGCTCTCCAGCTTGACAGCCCTTGTTCGTCTTCCTTTATTAGCTCTCACGCCCCCCCTACAGCTGCTGGTTGGTAGGCAGGTAGGCAAGCAAGCAAGGTAGACTCGAGGAGCATACGCCCTCGGCCGATAAGACAGGACCGTTCTGGTCAAGCTCAGACAGGCAACGGACGAGAAAGGCTGAAGACGAAGACTCCCTTCTCATCATCGCCCTCATCCTCTGGTGACACTTCTTCGCCTCCAGGCACGCCCCAATCACAACCGCGTATCGTGTCTTATTGCTCCTTGCGCGCCCAGACAGAAAAAAAAGGCCAGCCCAACACAACGCAGACGAGCAAACCTCTGACGCATCTCTGGGGCCCAAGACAGGCGGAGAATTCTCGTCATGGACCTCTACCGGAACCCTTGACTAGCAGCCACTCTAAAATCTGAGCCAGGGTCTTCTCCGAGGCCCTGTCATCAACCCTGAACCCATCCCAGCTGCATCTCAATCGCGCCGCCCACCCCCGGTAGCCCCAGCAGTCACACAAAAACCGACTGCGGGCCACCGTCCAGCCTCCGTCCAGCCTCCGTCCGCAGTCCGACTCGACTTGTTGTGCTCACGGCCTGCCGGCCAGGAAGGGGCCCGAAAGACTTAACTCTCCCCGTCCTCCTTCGTCCGGTTCCGCCTCTCAGGTTCCGGTCCTGGGAACATCTGCAGCTGCCCGACTCCGTCTCGACATCCAACTGCACGGCCTCATGTCGTATCACCAACCCTCCCAAGATCCATCTTGTTAGTATCACGGGTGCAGCATCTCGTCTCACGGCTCCTCGTCCTCACCCTCGCTTGTCGCCTCCTCTGACCCTTGGCCTGTTGCCTTGCTGCCGCAGCGAAACACTCCCAACATCAGCATAATACTCTGCCTCTCCTGGACCTGTCCTTCTTTCCTGCCACCTCAGCTCTGCAGATCCTCGAAGCGGGGCAGCCTTCTTTCCTGATCAGTCTCAACAACCTTGCAGCCGTGGACTTGACGGCCTGATTAGCTCTTCCGACTGGCTAGAGCTGCCTGTTATTTCAAATCCTCGTTCTTTCGACAGACGAGCCCATCGCCGGGGAAGCCTGCGGACCCAGGGCTGCCGCGGGCGCTTGGCGGGTGCATGTCAGCAGCTGGATACCAACCTCTACCATACATCTGGAGTCCACAGCCTGAAAGGAAGGCCAGCCTTGACCAAAGGCTCTGCCTGTTGTTGCTGGTTTGGATTGGGACCTTTCTGTCCAGCCGACTGATCATCCTGCAGCACCTCTCCCCTCATGATCACCAATAGCCCCCTCTTCGATACAACTTATATTCCTCTCGGCCAACGCCGAGGCATCACAGACCTGGCGCAAATAGCTTTGGATCTGACCTGGGCACCCGAGAGAGCAGAGCAGGAAGCCATTGCTCGGTCTCGGGCATATCCCTCTCCGCCCATGTCAGGATCTCCGCCCCTCCCCCCGAAGCCGCCCCAAGAAGCTGGTGATCGTGGCCAAATACCTGTTGGCTATTCAAATCCCAATCGTCAGGATGCTTATCGAGGTAACCTGCCTCAACAACCTCCAATTGATCGCCCAGGACCAATCAACATGCAGCCCACGCTTCCAAGGTTGTTCCAGCAAGAAGCTCCCGACGCTTCCGTATACTCATATCGCAGGCCGGAGGAAACGGCACCACGGCCTGTATCCTATGCTCAACCAGGCGCTCCGTCCATGTCCCAACCGCCAAGCTACATCCCCCCTGGAGGGCCTGGAGGGCCTGCGCCTTATCCTCCATCTGCCCGGCCAACGGGCGCCGAGAACCAGGCAATGACTTCTCCCAAATCGCAGAGGAAAACCAAGGGCCATGTGGCTTCTGCGTGTGTTCCCTGCAAACGAGCCCATCTTCGGTAAGTGACAACTCGTGCGAAGATAACCCCTTACCCCTGAGCCTCACCTGCTGACTTGCAGATAGTTGCGATGGTATGTGTCCAAGTATTCTTCCTTCCTTCTTTTCAGGCCCTGAGAACACTTGCGCGATGTGGTATCCACTTGCTGTTGTGTGCTGAAGTTTTTGCGGAGTTTGTCGATATCGAATGCGCCTACCATGCTTTTGGATAACATGGACACACAATTGTACTATGTCCTAGTGGACTAGTCGGATTGGCATGACACCTTCTGAAAGATAACCTCCCCATAAGATAAGTCGTCTCTGTGTTGGTGAAGAAGGGACTGGGGTTCAAAGATGGAAGGCCTGGCATTCGCTCTCAGAGGACCACTTGGAGCTTTAAACGATGCAAGATGTTGATTCAGGGGCTAATATCGAGAATAGCGCAACGGCCATGCTCGAGATGTGTGACGAATGGAAAGGAAGAATCATGCGTGGATGTTCAACATAAGAAAAGGGGTCGACCACGGTTAAGGGACGATCGAGATACTCGTTATGATCCGTCCAGGTTTCCGCACCCTCAGGATGCCGCAGCAAGACGACCACTAAGCATATACCCTTCGGGTATGCCAGTAGGCCCTGGGTATGCTGGTCCCCCTTTTACGGACTGGTTCTGCCATTTCGCTAACCACTTGAATCAGAGAACACATGGCTCCTAGGTACCTCGAACGAACACCGAACACCGACCCTACCCATTACCCAGCACCTTTGCCGACTGCAGCCAGAGGTGGAGAGCCTGTGGCCTTCTTAAACATGAAGATGGACTTTGCGAAGACATCGCCGACTTTTGCTGAGGCTGTTGGACACCCTGCTCTTCAGGGACAGAACTTGAGTGATGTTGTTGCTCCATCAGATAGGGATAGGGTATTGTCGATTCGAAGTCAACTCATCGAAGAACAGACGAGAAAGGAACCGAATTACCTCCCTCCCATACTCGCTCGGCTCGACCACATCATCCAGGGACTTGGATTTGGGGCGGAGGAAATCGGGCGGTTCCAGCTTGACCGCCAAGAATACCTGGTATTCAGAGGTGCTGATGGCCAGCCGAGGCAATTTCCTATCCGTCTCGGCCTGGCGAAAGAGGGATCCATCTATTTCGTGGTCATGATACTCAGCTTTAGATATCCCTTGCCGCCTTCGCCTGTCTCTCGAGAGGTGGCACATGCCTATGGTTCTCAACCGCCGACTCCTCAGGCTGCCTATAGTCAGCGAATACCGCCGCCAGCGTCAGTGCCAGTGCCGCCACCCTTTGACCCAACTCGAAGCCGATTCAACGACATGCCCTTGGTATCTCGACCAGCTCCTGGGCCTTCAACGCAGCTGCCGGCAAATCTGTCTCCTCGCATTGCTGTCGGTGCTGGAGCGACGTCGTATGCGGCATCACCTAGCCGTACCGAATATGCAGGCCCACCGTCATATCATGTTCCTCGAAGCGAACTGCCTCCTCCGAGCGGACCACGTCCTCAAGCGTCGTTTCAGCTTCCGCCGATCCGAGCTCAGCCAGATCAGCCTGGGGCACGCCCATCGGGGGAGCAATCATGGCCTCGGGGGGAGCGGCCGAATCGAGTTGATATTGGAGGCCTGATCGATAAGCCTGATGCTCCAGGACGACCGCGGTAGGACTGTGAAAAGTCCCAGTGATGGAGCAAGGGGAAAGCGGCATACTGGTAATGAAGGGAAACTAAACATTTTTACATGATGAAGGAGGAGCCCGGATGGGATGTTTGATTTTTTTTGATTTTGGGTGTGATGGGATTTTGTGTCTATTAGGGCACCAGAGCATGTACAATAGTCCTATCGGTGTGATGCACCACATATACCGTTTTTGTTTTGATGTAGGAGCGAGGAAACCAGCAGGGTATGGATGGGATCCTGTTAAGGAGACTGTTTCGGGCATTTGCAGCCGGCGGCGTTGGGTTGCGTTGAGGACGTTGAAACGGCCACAGGCTTGCAGGGCTGAGCAAGCGGCCAAATGACGGGTTGAATTTGATTTTAGCTGACCCCTCTGTGTTGGGCAGCTTTGTATGCGGTTGTGTTCCTTGACGGTGAAAGAGAAGCTCTAGATGAGCAGCGTGATTGGTTCCAAGGGTTGGTGAAGTCTGCTGGAAGTTGTTGCATTTTGAAGGCGTTTTCAAGTATACCCAGGAGGGAGATTCGGTCGCAAGGGAAACAGAGAGTGGGCAGGCAAAGAGGAAGAACTCGAGCCAAGGAGAAGGACGATGCCGGCTGGCCGGTATCAATGCAGACCTGCTTATGAGGGTTGGGCAGCAAAAGGGGACGGAGAGGGGCAGCTTGTTTGTTTATGCGTCAAGGACACATTGGGGTCTATGATGAGGGGGACGATGCAGGCTCAGAGAGACGGGGAGTGGAAGGTAGAGGATATTGTTGTGAATACTCAAGGACGATGTTGAAAGCAATCCATGCGACGTCCCACGTGTTTGGTGCTGGTTACACAACGCAACAGGCATTGATCCCTAGCGAAGGATCTGATCTCACGGCAAAGTAGTTGGAAGGGAACGAGAGGGGGGAGGGGAAGGACGACAGATTGGCGCAGAGATGAGGCAGCCAGGGGATTAGAGCCGAAGCCACCCAATGAGGCGGCGGCAAAGACACGGCAAAGGAAGCGGGAAGAGCAGGTACAGCAGTGAATGTGTGTGTGTGGTTTGTGATACCAAACCCATGGCCAATGCGGCCAACGTCCGGATTTATCATGGAAACGAGGAGGGAGGTCAGTCAGCGGGTGAACAAGGGTTCCTTGGAGAGGGGGCGTGTGAGGGATGCGCGCGCGTCTGTGTCTCGATCGATGACCGCCGCCGCTCCTTTATTTTTATTTTTTAATTCTCCGAGAGCCGTAGAACGGCCCGCTCCCTCCACTCCCGGGACCTGGGCTTGCGTGGTGGCCGCCGTGTGTCGGGGATTTGGGATGGGGGAGACAAGAGGGACCCGGGCGCGAATATCGGAGTCGGAGTCCGGCGCCCCGTACGTGGCCCGGGTGCGGCGGAGGCTGGTGGAGGCATCACGGGTTGTGGGTCAGAGAAGAAGGGACAAGTTTTTTGGGGTATAAAGAAGTTGTTTTTACTATCGAACAGGGCACCTATACCTCCACATCTCCATTCTATGCAAAACGCTGGGCTGTGAGCCGATCTGCATTGCCCGATATGACCATCAAAATGGCGACAATGAGAATATCCAATCTAAATAATAACAGACAAGCTAGAAAAACAGAATGCCGTGGCCGACACCAATCTAAAAGAGGAGAATAGGTGACCCAGAAATATTCGTAGTGTTAAAGTACAAGGGCTCATGGCGAAACCATCTTTGGCGCCGAAAGGTCAGGAAAACCTGTTGTCGAGCCGGTCGTTGGTGTTGTCATTGAAGCTTCCGTGCTAGCTTCAGTGATGTGACGGCTATGTTGAGTTGCGTTGCTCTGAAGCCGCCCGCCCCCCGGCCTCATGTAGTCTGTTTGACTTTGTCGAGTTGGGTCGGGGCGAGAATAGGCCAACTCAGGTGAGCGACATCGAGGATTATTGCCGATCGTGTTTGATCTGCCAACAGACCGTATCGCCAAGAAGGCGTTTCCTCAACTGCCAGGGACCTCCTGGGCGTCATCACTGGCCTGGCAGGTTGTCTGGCAGCGTGGGCCCGGGCCGGATGGGAGTGAGCTTCTTGGTGTCAAGGAGGTCGAGTTCGGCGCCAGGGTCGCTAGCGACCGGATCGGAGCCGTCTCCCATGTAATTGAAGGCGTTCTTCTTGTCGGAGGAAGCTAGAGGCTGGCCGCCGTTGATCGGAGCAGGGGTGGGCGACACTGCGCGCTTGCTGGATGAAGTCGATCTAATAAGTGGGAGAGTTTATGTCAGCAAGGAGCGTCTACTGGAAGCGTCACCCTCGCTCAGGAGAGAGTTGAGAGACGGGGAAGAAACCTACTTGGCGTGAACGATGGTGGACGTATTGGCAGCAGAACGAGTCATTTTCGAAGTGTTTTATGAGAAGTTGGGAGCGTGGGAGCACGATGTGTTGTGATTGGTGTTTTTCAGGAGGGTTGTTGGTGGGTTTTTATCTTTCGTCAAGAGATGGAGGGCTTCATCTAGATGAACTGGTGTTGGAGCTGGAACTGGGCCTGTATTTAAAGAAATTGCCTACGGTTTGGCGAACCACGAGGCTGATGGTCAGCATATGGATGCTTTCACTGTACTTTCAACCTTATGACTCTTTCTGAAAGCTACGCGTTGCACGGCCACTTGGAAACTGGAAAAATACGTTCCATGACAAAGTGTGGTGGAGTTTTTGCACCGACCTACACAGCCAGCACTAGGCTACCACCACCACCACGGAGCACTTGATACGTCAATTCCCACAGCTGTGTGTGTGTATTAGGTACCTAGGCCTAATTCAAGTCAATTGTGAGAATCTTGTGTATGTTGGTTTGTCTCTGTTCCAGTGGACCTCTCAAAAGCCTGTGCCTTGCTTCCTGTGCCTGAACCCATGACCTCCGTGATAGCCTTGCATCCATAAGGTTGTGTGAACGGGACAGTCTGACAGGCACGATGCAACACAACAACCCGGCACACTGCGAGACAGTGTTGCAAAAATGGTTGACAAGCAGCTGCAAACTGCCATTGAGAGCTCAGCTGAGAGAAGAGAGAAGCCCACCAAGCGCCCGCCCAGGTGCCCCAACTGCCACGACGGAGAGTTTTTCTGTCTCACACTTGTGGTGATACTCGGATGACCTTGCTAGTCATCCAGGCAACAACACGTTTTTGCCACCCAGAGAGCGGTGAAAACACTGGTATTCCGAATTGGGAGAGGATTGACAGGCGCTTCCCATTGTCAATGGGTTACGTGCGAGAGGAGAGGAGGCGCATGTTGTCTGGAGGCTTGCCCGTCGTGAAAATGGACGTGAGAAGTGGAGAAGCAAATTGAACACGCGAACAAGCGCCACAGGCTAAACGCCCAACGAAAGAATGAATTGTAAAAGACAGTGAAAGGAGAAAAAAGGCAACAGGGGAATACGGGTCCAATATGGGATGAAAATGAATGAGGAGAGAGAGCCTTGGAGGCTTAGATTTGGGGCTATGGTGAAAATATACAGTTGATATCTCAGAATCTCCTTAGGCAGAGCGTAAGGCCGACCTGATTGAGGCTGTGTGCTGAATGCCTCGCTTTAGGCTTCGCTTTAGGCTAACTTGGCTTGACATTGAGTCAACGAAGTGGAAAAGACGATCAAGAAATCTCCATGGAAGAAATGTCTGTCAATTACATCTTCTTTTTGCCATGTAAAATTTCACACGCGCACCCTTTGTAAATGTGCAAAGCATCCCACTCCCTTTGAGACATTGAATGCACAAATCGCACCACTCCATGTCACTGGCTCACAAAAACAGGCACCTGCTGCCACTCCGGCCCTACTGTACCTACCTTAGCTTGCCAACTTGCATTTCGTCACGCAACCTGTGCCTGGCCAAGTCTGGAGTATCCGTAAGGCGGCGGGGAATGAGGAACTGAGGTTGATGGTTTGGTTGACCCCATCACCGTGCACGCGGGCCCTCGTATCCGAGTTGACATGGACATGGCCCTCCCCAAAGCTAATCTGTATCTAGCATTGTTGGGCCCAAGCTTTTCAAGGCGAATGTTGCCTTGCAGATTGATGAGTTGTTCAGCGGGAGAAAAAGAAAAGAAGCCCGTGATATTGGACCGACCATGAGAAATAGAGTTTGATATAGTAAGCTGACGTACTAGGTAGGCAGGCAACCAGGGGAATTGTGGTGTTTGCTGCCGCATCTGTAGTTCGGTATGACTACAGGACGCACGCAGCCCAATGCCGTATCACGTGTCGCCGCGCCTGCCCAGTTGCCTGTTCGTTCCTGAGGCCACCAGCATTTCATCCGATGACCAGGTTCCTGTAACCTCCAGTCACAGATGGCTTGCTGTTGATCAACACAGTTCGTACTCCTGCATGAATGCGCTTCTTTTTTTTTCTGCTCCTCTTCCTCTGGAAAACGTCCGCTAGGTCAGGCCACCACGGCCGAATAACTCAGGCGCCTGGGGGAAACGAGAGATGAGATAACAACCAACGAGAAAACGGACATGGGATATGAGATATCAACCCAACCACACATGACCGTGCTTCTTGCGTTACTAGTACCATTTCCGCTTCCATCTTCACGCGCATTCACTTCCCTGAACCCGCATCATTTTGCTGTGCTAGTGCGTCGAGACAGCGGCAACACAGCCCCGGGCGAGTTCGTACCCAGCCTTGCTTGCCCGATTCACGGACATCATGGCCGATGTTGACATGGGAGGTGTCCCAACAATCGGCAATGGCATTTCTCACGCCGGCACAAAAAGGAAAGCCGACGGCGACCCCGATGAAAGCAATGCCCCTCGAAGAATAAAGGCAAGCGAACTATCCACGGCTGCCTTGGCCGCCTTGCATCACAGATGTGGCTCATCTCCCAGGCTAACATGAAGCCCAGGCACTTGATCCAAATGTCGTCAATAAGATCGCTGCCGGTGAAATTATTGTGGCTCCTGTCCATGCTCTCAAGGAGCTCATTGAGAACGCCGTCGATGCGGGCGCTACCTCCTTGGATGTGATGGCCAAGGATGGAGGCCTGAAGCTT